CTTTAAATAGTGAGCAGTGCCTGTTATTTTATCATATTGTAAGTCTAATAAGCTCACATAAAGTAATGTGAAGTGTTTTATGCAAACATAATGGATTTCCTGCTTCAATAAACAATAAACTAGTTGTTCTAGTATCATCACTACAGTGATATCAGCATCCAAGTGTGGGTTATTATCATTATTATAATTTCATTATTATTATCATTATTATTATTATCATTACCATTGTTTTTATTATTATTATCATTACCATTGTTTTTATTACCATCATCATTATCATTGTTATTGTTCCTAAAAAATAAAACAAGGAAATACTAATAGCAATAAATTAAACAATAATATTTGTCATATTTTTCTTATTACTATTTATACCCCCTGTTATTTTTTCCTAACTTCACCAATCCAAATTCTATTTCCTTGTTTTATTTAATGGGAACAATATCAATGATGATGATGGTAATAAAAACAATAGTAATAATAATAACAAGAGTACATAATATTGATAATAATATTAATAATAATGATAATTTCGCTGTACTTTGGAGGAGTCCATTAGAAATGATCACATCAGCTTTCAATGATTTTGAACATATTAAATCTACATATGTATTTGTATATCTTAACTTTTATTATCTAAAGCTGTCTAAAAATGGCAAACATTAATGAAAATTTAACACATTCAATTCATGAATTGATATACTTGTGAGCAAATCTTGCATGTGTTCAAAAGCAAGAAATTATGTAATATAATTTTGTACAAATTTGTACACTTATTATTTGACTGTAAAAATTTGCACACTTCTGAAGTGTACAAATTTATACACTCTAATGTAGAGAGTACAAATTTGTACATTTTTGAGTGTACAAATTTGAACAATCACACAATAGGTATGCCAATATATGGCACTTATTTGCCACTTTCTTTCTAAAAGTGCTAAAATTTTGTGAAGCAGATCTAATGGAATTTTTTGACACTATTCCAATATTCAATGACTTTCTGTACAAATTTTGAAACAAACTTTTAATGATAAAAGTTAACTTTAAAAAATAATGTGTTTTTGATACTCTTGTTGAACAGGAACATCATGAGGCTCCATACCGGCTACCCTTGCAAAGGACATTGAGGGGGTGGCTTCCAGTACAATTACAAGCATAACACAGACCAAACAATTTTCTTCTTGTATTTGCTAGGCTGGAAGTACGTGATAGTTTACAAAATTTCTTCTTACTTCCCCAAGAAGTTTGTATAGTTGTGACAAGAGTGAATGAATGAGAGAGAGAGAGAGAAAAGAAAATAATTTTGTCATTAATTATTACTGTTAATATCACCTTGTACTTAAACCACTTTACAAGAGGTTTTTCTAGACTGCCAGTATGCATAAACATTGATATTTCCTTGAGTTGTACTATATACTTCAAAGCATGCATTAGCCTGTGATGATGAGCCACAGACTGAAGTTGATGCTTCTGGATTTATATAAGGTATAAGTTATGGAGCCTGAGACTTCCATACCTAATTTTTATTTGAACTATTAGGAAAAGAAAATCAAATAAAAATATCTCTGACATCCCAGCTTCCTTTTTACTCTTTCACTCACCAAGAGTGTATCAAAAGAAGCCTCTCTTTTAACAGTTAGAGTAGGTCCTGTCTCAAGCTTGGCTGATGCCTTCATATTAAAATCATTATCCAAACGTCCAATGAATGCATTGAAATTCATTTGTCCAGATATTTGACCGGTGAGAGTGACCTTCAGAGTACCTACAATAATAAAGAACCTAAGTTTTACTCGGAAAAGAGTAACTGTCTTTTGCCATGAGCAAGTGAACTTGTATGTCCTTGAAGTTGTATACATAGTATTTAAGAGTGTGTAACCAACTATCTTAATGTAACGCTTGTATGTCAAAGTGCTGACAGAGTTACGGTCTGGGAAGTCTCTCACATATGAGAACATTGCATCAAGTGCAGTGTAAGTTTTTTTCCAGACCACAAGATCAAACCTTGCTCGTGCATACAGTTTGATACCAGGAATACCAACACCTCCAAACCCTCCTGCTGCTATGTCAGCATGTAATTTAGAATATCCAATCTCCGTGGCCCACAAATATCCTCCGTGAAGGGGATATTTAGAAACATCTCAACATCTCCCAGACATTGACTGTACCAGATTATCTACTCAAAAATTTAGCTAACTTTCCACATAACCTAAGGCATCATTAATTTGCATTAAATGCTCAAAATTATTAACTTATACCTATTATTTACAATTGAGGTTGTGGAACTAATATACATTAGTCTCGCCAGCCAGA